AATAATTTAATTCGTCCATTATAACGTTCATATTTCAGGTAAAATAGGAATTGCTCTGAGTGTTCAATCTTACTTTCCTGCGACGGATTCATTGGAGGATAAATTAGCTGTCGAGAGAGTTTACGAGTATACGGTGAGTTATATATTATTTTCGATAAATTCGTTAGTACTGATCAGGTTTTCACTAAATATCTCCTGATATGAGCTTCTTTCGTATCAGTCAGTCATAACAATAACAAACTTTGAGTTTACCTGAGAACATCGATTGGAATTCGTAAAGCCGAAATATTGTCGCCTGAAGGCATCGATATAGACACAAAATATCCATTCTCGAATCGAATCAATTTTATTTTATGAATAACCAGAAACTTCAACAAGAACATTTGTTAGAAAGTACAATCATTAAAAAACACAGTATTCAAATATATGAACAGAGTACCTGAATGGCTGAAATCGTACTTTTCAACTGAAGGGTTTTTGTTAAAATCTATCGTGCCTTGACATGAGACCGCAGAGTCGGAACCCGAGTCACCTGACTCACTTGACGCAGCTGACGCATTAACTGTATGTCGCGTATTCTTTACGATTTCAATGAAATTGCTTCTATTCAGAATACTGTTTCGACTCGAATCAAAAATATTTGATTATGCCAATAAGTTTCGAGTAAGATATTGAATTGAGATTTCTGAATATCATATATAAATTGTTGGTATTGAAGGGGGAATTTGAATTGCTGTCTTATTTTCGGGAGGTTATGTAAATCATTGAAGTGTGGCAATTCGTTTTTCTTTTCGGTCTCTTATATCTATTCATTCTATTAGTGATATTCATTCGAAACTCATTAATACAGTTTATTGTATAATTTTCACTATAAAAGGTTTTACAAAAACCGTGACACGTGTTTCAAGCGTAAAATGAAGACCATTTTACGCTTGAGAAAGCTAATGTATAGCGAAACACGTGTCGCGGTTTTTGTAAAACCTTATTTTATGATGAAAATCAAACAAAAAACTTTTTCAATGAATTTCAATATGGATTTTCATCAAGTATTCTCCAGTTCTATTCAATTATATCCATTTGAGTTGTCTCGGTAGATTAGGGTCAAGTCACTGTCATAATAGAAATTAAATGAAAAAAAATAGATTTTTTATTGATCCTTTCAACTATCGATAACAATAGATAAGACAAGTCAGTGCAACATGAAGTTTAGTTGACATACAAAAACTGCAACAAGACGAAACGAAACAATACCAACTTATTACAATAATGTTTGACTTACATTATGAAATCCCTTGATATTATATCAAAACAGGAAAGATTCGAATTCCACAATAGCATGAAAGCATTTTCTGACTAGTAGTTCCTTATGTTCACATTTAAAAACAACCGAGGATCCTGTTGAAAAAACGGCAGCCTGCATTAATAGGAGATTTTTTGTGATATGAGTGTTGAGGTTTGTTAATTTTGTGGCTTAGCCCCTTCTCTTAATGAGGCACTCAAATGCCTGATTCATATATAATTTTGCAGTACACGAAGGTAGGCGACATATCAAAATTTTTCTTGATTTGAAATGAATCAAAATGCAGTAATATTGATCTAATTTTTGTTCGAAATGAGAAATATTTCTAGGTATATCGTATAAAAAATCTATCTAGACAAACAAAATTAAATTTTTTGTCTGAAAATGAATCGGTCCGTAATTTAAGGAGTTGTTACAAAAAACATTATTTGCTGTCAGATTTTCGTTAACTATTATTTTATGAAGATAAAAACAACTCACACAAGAAAATTTTGAGATTGAATTGAATATAATTTATTTCAATTTGAAACATTAATAAAATTTTGTGACATTGGTTTTAGAAAATTCACTGTAACGGAATACATTCAATACATTGATGAATGTAGCCGTTATTACGTGGTAGGAAATCATAATGAAGAAAAGAAAATTGAAACTTTCTATGTTTTTACCACTTTTATTTGTAACTAACGTTACTGTAGTTTCGTCCTATAAGGACATTTTCAAACATTCAATGTAATTATAAGAGAATTGAAACTTTCTATGATTTTTACGTTAGTTACAAATGAAAGTGGTAAAAACATAGAAAGTTTCAATTTTCTTTTCTTCATTGGAATACATTTAGTGTGATAATGCTGTAATCCCCACCAAGATATTCTATGGGATGGGTAGATGGTATTTCAACGTAAATCTATATTTTGTGTTAGGTATTTCAATAAGAACCTTCAAAGGAGTGGTTGAAGAAGGAGAACAATTAATTTCTGCTAATATCGTAGAAGTAAAATTTTCAACCCCAAAAAAACAGCGGCCTTGAAGAGCACCAGTAACTGATAATCTTGAGTATTACTATTCCAATATTAAACGGAGTATTTACGACTTTCATAAGACGGATTGGTGACGTATTACGGTAAAAAAGTTCCAACACAAAATTAATAACGTTTGAGAATTGTGGCTTCCAAAACATCTCTCAGTTCAATTTTAAAGAAAATAGGTTTCAAATGGAGGAGGACTGAATAGAATAGAAAAATTTTCAATAGAGAAAATGGACATTGGAGCATTGAGATTCAAGTATTAACAGAAAATTAATTATTTTCGTAGCCTACTGCGACAAATTGTGTTTCTTGATGAAACATGCCTTCATAGTGGACATACATCTTCCGAGTACTGGACGGATGAATCAATCAAAGGGTTATTTGAAAATGTTGCGAAGAGACCAAGACCTATTATTGTCCATGCAGGAGGTGACATGGTTTCCATTCCTAATTGTCGGCTCATATTTAAATCAGGCACGACATCAGGGGATTACATTAAGAAATGAATTCTGAAAATTATGATAAATGCTCACAAGAAAAGTTGATCCCAAAAAACAATAATATTCAAATTAATCCAGCCTTCAATACAAATTCTAGAAAGTCTGACATGATGAAGTGACTGCATGAAAGAAGCATTATGTTCGCCCCTAATATGCTGAAACCCGAATTATACGAGTTGATCAAGGTGACTATAAAGCATCATATTAGATACAAATTTGATGAGGTTATACTTGAACACGGACATAACAATTTGCGACTTCCACCCTACCATCCGGATTTGAATCCCATTGAACTCATTCGGGCTACTGTATAAACAACGTGTCCCGAAGAAATGTAACTTTCAAGTTGGAAGATGCGAGGAAACTGGCGGAGCACGAGTTTAATCGAATAACTTTCAAGGAATGGCGAAAGCATTGCCGACATGTAGCAGATTTATAGCGGAAACATTGAGAAAATGAAACATTCATAGACGTGCAAACAGAGGTAAATCCAGTAATTATAAATTCAAATGACGGTAGCAGCAAAAGCACAAGCACAAGCAGCAGTGAAGATGAAGAAAATGTGTATTCAGATAGTGACTGATTAAAGTTTACTTTTGAATAAGTGTATCATTATTTAACATTTTGATGAATTGTACTATTACCTATAGTACTGAATAAAATTATAAAGGAGTCATGTTCCATTTGCTACCCTAATTAAAACTAATTATAGGTACACTGGCCGGCAAGGGGCTTATCGTAATCCGATAGTAATTTAGTTGGGAGAGTCTATACCTGCGCGATTCTTCGCCATCTGTGGCATCTGTGCCGTAGCGTGTACTGTAGTCCATGTATCCTTTACACTCAGGGCCCCGAGGTCTCTGAAGTGTGCTGAAGGGCACCAAACATACGAAGCCCTGGACAGAGCCGGCAAAGTGTGCCAACTGCGAGGGAGACCACCCCGCCAATTCCAGAGACTGTTCAGTCTACCGGGAGAAGGCGGAGAAGGACAAAGCCAGACAAAGAGACAACCACCATCCCAAAAGCAGGTTCAGTCACCAGCCCCCAAACTGGTCCCTGCGCCACCTCCTAAAGTGAACCCATGGACGAAGAGAGCCGGGATGCAGCAAGCCCCTGGGTCACCGCCTCTTCCTCACACACCACCAGTGCAAAGAGAGCGGGCGTTTAGACCCACGATAGGGAACTAACAGAACATCATGAAGGCAACCAACTGCTTCCAGACGCTAAGCGAGATGGTGAGATGGCGAGATGGTGGAGATCATTCGTTGCACGAATGAACTTCATCTATTCACATGACGTCGACATAATGTTTCTATCCGAAACCAAGCTGCGACAGGAACACAAACTGAAACTATGAGATTTTATCACTGTCCGCAAGGACCGCCCTGATGCTGTAAGAAGTGGTGGGATGGCTATCTTGATAAGAAAAGGTATCGCTCATACGCAGATACCCCAGCAACGAAGCAGCCTTGAGCATGTTGGTGTCCAGCTTGCAGATGGTACCTGCGTGTTTGCAGTATAAAGCCAGATGGACGCTTCACTTCGCATGATTTGGACAATCTGTGTAACGTTGGGAACAAGCTGCTGGTTGTGGGAGACCTCAACGCCAGAAGGCGTGAGTGGAACAGTCTCAGTCGACCTAACACCAATGGCAAGATGCTTCTAGAGTATTCTCTGAACAATAACATTGTCATTGAATACCCTGAGTAACCGACACACTATCGTTGGAATGGTACGTCGCCCTCCACGATTGACCTAGTACTTAACAGGAATGTTCGAGATCTGGGCGAACTGGTTACCGTGGAGGAGCTGAGCTCCGACCACTGTCCGGTGCTCTTCACTCTCAACAGAGACAGACCAACAACGAAGAGGGTCAAATATAACTACAAGAGCACGGACTGGTCTGAGTACAGGGCGTCCATGAACAATCTCACCGTTATCAAAAGTAACATTGATAAGGATGATATTGATGAAATTTGTGAATAACCGGTTTGAAGCTATCCCGACTATAAACAGCGGTGACGTGCAGTCGGTAACGGATCATCAAAACGCTCAGTTGATTGGGGAATATTTCGCCAGTGTCCACCAAATTAGGCCCGACGTCTGTGATGAACACAGAGCCACCACTTGCACTGCAAATAACATCTTGAGCAGATCGGTGCCGAAATGGTTTATAAATCCTCTGGTTTTTGGCGATTATCCGACTGGTATGAAAGAAGGAATTCAAAGTCGCAGTTTACAACAAGGATTTCAGGAATCGCGTTTGCCAAAATTCAGCAAATTACAGCAGATCACTTTGAGACAATCTTTTGACTTCATTGGTGTGAATAACTATATTTCGTTCTATGTTAGAGCTGACAGGACTCTTTCTCAGAATCCTAGTTTCACTAATGATCGTCAAGCTACTGTATTCGAGGATCCCGAATGGAACACAAACTATGAAAAAAAAAATTAAGGTTCGTTGAAAGATAATTTTACTTTTCATGTACAAATAGACATTGTTTGGAATACAGTATGGTCATTTCTAAAATATGAGAGAATAGCGTCAGCTGAATAGAGATATACTTGTAGTTCTCAAATTTCTGCCCACTAGTGAAAAAAATTAATGACATAGGTTTCGATTATATTGGACAAAAACCAAATTCGATCAATTTCTGTTTTTTGTGGTATCTGTTGCTGTTTGAAAAATGTGTCGGATACTTTTTGTCCAAAAATACGATATCGTTGATTTAGGGTTACCAAATTTCAATTCCAGTGTTTCGTATTCTCTGTGCCACCATCAGATTCTGTTTACAGAAAGAACCTCAAGTTACCCTCCCTATCATACACCTTTTCAGAAACCCTATGAATAAAAGTCCACCGGTCACACAACTGAAACTCAAGTTCCAACCCTTGATTTTGGATCTTTAAAAAAAAATCAACTGTACTCGCATTGTATTAGAACCAGAGTAATTTTGATACACTTTCTTTTAAAAAAATTTGGTGTCAAAAAACTCATTGTTTATTGAACCTCATCATATAATTAAAGAAAAACGTTACTGATGCCTCCGCTTTTGTGTTGAATAAGAATTATTCATGGCATGAAAATATTTCGATCGAACATACAACACTTTGGAAAAGTCGTTTCGCCACCAAAATGACCATAACAAACATATTTTTTGATAAAAAATATCTGAATCATTTTTTGATATTACGTGATATTACCTGAAATGAAAGTATTCGTATTTGTGCTAGGAATCGCACATTGAGAAGTAAGACCTCGTTAATTCTCAGCTCGTTTCGACTGAGGGTTTTCGTTCGTAGGGGGACGACAGCTGATGATTACTGGAAAAAACAGATTTCAATAGATTTCCACAGATTCGTGAAACCGATCTTAGTATCGTTAATTATGTTCACCAGTGGATAAAGCTTCGGTAGCTGCAACTTTTTTTCATTCAACCGACTTTCTATCTCTCATATTTTCAAAGTTACTCAAACATTCACGTATACCTGGGAAATGATGATAATCATTTCCAGGTATACGTGAATATTATCGAATGAAAACGAAGGAGTTTTCTCATCACTTTCGGTTATACCACCAAGACCAATTCAATCATTCATAATGAAACACCCTGTACATTTTCACATTTTTGAATACCTGACTGTATTACTGTATGTATAACAAACATATACCAAATATTAACCGTTCTCGAGATATCCATTTGTTTTATACACAATAGTTTTGAACAGAAAAACTAATAATTCATATCAGTCTTGGATGCCTGATTTTTTAAATATCACACAAAGTCTTCGGTACTAGAAACTCATTCTGAAGATATTAAAAAGGGCAACGCACGGATATTTTAAGAGAACTACTCTGTATGATAGAGTGTTCCATTGTCGATATCTTTCAGTTCATCTTGCAAAAACACAGTTATAAACACAATTATATTTTAGGAAAGAAAAGTTGCGGCTTTCTACTTCTCCATCGCAATACAAAAAATGTGGGAGTCTTCCACAGAAAGAAAGAAAGCAATCAATTTCAAAAAATTAATTCAATACGAAGATATGTAGCTCTTAATCAAAACTTTACAAAATCCGCAATTCCACCACTAACACAAGCAGATGATTCCTTTGCAAAAACAACCATAGAAAAAGCAAATCTACTAGCTGAAAAAATTTCGTCCCACCCCATAGTCGATTTTATGAGAAAGACACCACCCACTATTTCCACACTAGAATCCACAATGCCGTAAATTACTAACTGACGATTGGTCCAACAGCCCGAAACCGGTCTGCAAGGATGTTCCAATAATGGAAAATCTATTGCGGCAGTTGTATCGCCAACAGCATATGCAGGAATAACTTTAGTGAAGAATTCTGCACTGACACCTGTCGGATATAATTCAACACTCTGCGTGGTATTGGCCAGGGGAGTAATTGTTTTCTGATAGGTGTCAGTCCAAACCTACGGTGTAGGGAGTTGAGACTGGCCTGAACAAATCTGTTTAAAATCTGTTTAAAATCTGTTTTTCCGTTAACCAGCTGTCGCACCCCTACGTACGACAACCCTCAGAAGTCGAAACTTGTGCGAGCTAAGGACTAACGAGGTCTTACCTTTTAACGTGTGATTCCTAACACGATTAATGGTGGAAATAAATTCATTATTGATTTAAATGTCGACAGTGATAGTGAAACAGAGGATATAAAAGAGGAATTATATAGTTATTGTGATTATAATATAATCAGAAATGATTATTATATAACGAAATTTGTTAACTCCCTAACTATATTATTAAAGGGGAGCTGCTGGAAGGTAGGTTGCACTATATCGGTCAATTGAACTATACCATTTAGGTTTGAAAGGAAAGGAATAAAAAGCGTATCCGTTCAGAAAACCTAAGATACTATGCACACCGGCGCGGCGTACAATCCAACGTGTCGCAAAAATTGTGCGGATGTTGTTCAAATACACGCAGATGAATGTCGCAAACGTTTGCATTAGCTCGTCTACATTAGCTCATAAGAGACAATTATTTCAACAATGTCTATCAACGCATAATTTGCGGCGTGTCGAATTGTACGAGTCTAATTATGAACATTGTCAGAGCATGATTCTTTAGTATATGGTTTATCCATAGTCATCCCACTATACCCTATACTTGAAACAAATAGTAGGTATAATTTTCCACACTTGGTGAAATTCAATTTAATTTTTACAGATTTACACAACTGGATTAGGAAATATACTCAGACACATTAGAGACAATTACAAAAATCCGGTGTTATTCATTTCAGAACAAGGATACAATAATCAAGGAGGTTTGAATGACACTGATCGAGTTTTATATATCAAGGTTAGTTTACACTTGCTTTTAACATCATAAACTCATGAAAAATATTTTACTTCAATTTCAACATGTATCAAAACTTCAATGAGTAGGTTTGTAGTATCCACATTGGGTTATCACTTTTTCAAAAAGTGCATGCATGCTATGTTAGTTTTATATTCAGGAGCAATAACTATGAGTGAAATCAAGCAAAAATCGTCTTTTCAGGTTCTGTTATTCTTAGTAATCTCAATGGATGCCCTGCAAATGGCAAATTATCTTACGTAATTTTTTCGTTTCGTCATTATATTCGAAAACGGAACTTTCAAGTTCTAAGAGTAGGTTAGGTTGGGTTAGGTCCAAAGTGAGTGGGTCTATTCGACCCTCCACCGCAACCCGCAAGGGTTTATTGTGGCTCACACCCATTCATACTTGGCCAAATAAACCCAGCTTCTTAACAAAGCCGATTAGTTTGTATGGTGAGTGGTCTTTCAGGTAAGATGGTAAGAGTACGGCTTTGCCAAACTCTGAAAACCTGATTCGGTCCCCAACGGGGCAGGCACAAAGTATGTGCTCTGCTGTTTCATCATTTTCCAAACAGAGACGACACACACTGTCTTCAGACAGTCCGAGTCTCTGCATATAATGATTCAAATGACAGTGACCTGTAATAAGGCCTGTTAGACATCCCTACTGTAGTCCAACAACTGTTATCAACCTTCGAAGGATGAATAAACGCCTTGGAGTGAGCCAATCCTCGAAGATTCTGCCAGAAGTCCATAAATCTTCTTGCCATCCAGATGTTCAGTCTTTGCTTGGCAAAGACTAAAGCGATGCCAATGACAGGTTCTGGTCAGATGAAGCTGCTTGCAGCACCCTCCTTTGCAAGGAGGGGGTCAGCAGCCTCATTGCCTTACAAGCCAGTATGGCCAGGAATCCACACCAGAGGCAATCTGTTAAGTCTTCCTATCTAGGAGAGTCGTTTTTGGCAATTTGATACCAATTTAAACGTTGCTCTGTAGGAGCTTCCAACGCCGCTTGACTGTCCGAGAATATTTTTATTGACTTATGTATGAGGTTGGATTCTTTCAATCTCTCCGCACACAATTCAATAGCAAAAATTTCCGCTTGAAATACAGTCGCATATGTACCTAGGCAGGTTGATATCTCTGTCCTGGGTCGACTGCAAACACCTGCATCAGAACCGGAAGGTGTTTTTGATCCATCTGTGAACCAACAACTATCTGCTCTTAATATTTCTTTCCCCCGTAAGATCCAGTCCTCTCTACTCGGGAACAGTGCTTTATGAAGCAGTTCGTAGTTGACAGTTGGGGAGTGGGGGTTGATCTAGAAGGATCTCTATGGCCGCTGACGGTGTGGTACTGATGGCATCACTGATGGCCAGACAAGCCTCTCTCTGTCATCGACACCATATTTTTAATATAGAACTAGATACTCCACGGCATTTTTCGTAATGTTTATTTTTCATAAATTCTTTGAAGTATCACCCAAAATACATTTATGGTTAATTTTGCCATATGATTACATTGTATCGAATAATTTCACATTAGAGTCCTAATTTTTCAGTTGTTAATTGCATTTTTTATATGTTTTTGAAATGGACATTATTACTATTATTGGTACTGATGAGTACCGACGTCTTGCTCTTTATTTATCTTCGTACTCAAGTTATTTAAGTAGTGAAATATGAAAGAATATGCTTTCGAAATTATTTTCTATATTATATTTTTTCTATGTTCCTGATGGTAACAGAAGCCGAAACAAAAATATAATCGATAGTTTTATTTTTTCTTCAACATCTCTAAAGTCGAATCGGATTTTTGGGAGTTTCATCAAAAGATAGTGCTATTAAACATGAATCTTTCACCTTGGCAGCCTTGTAAGCCTTATTCTACAATTTAGAAGATATGAATAAAATACCATTAAAAAAGTGGCCACCCTGAACCAGTAGTATTTTGTTATTTTTTCTCTATTCAATCGACATCTGATATTATATTCTAGTGAATTTTCAGTTGTTTCATTAAATATGAATTATTGGCACAGGATATTCGATGGAAGTATTTCCTATTTTTCGATGCGTTCATATGGGAAACTTATTATTTTACAAATAAATATTTAATATTTTATGTTACAGACCAAAACTTGGCCTGTACAGCGTAAACTTCACTGATCCGAAGAGGACAAGGACTCCGAAGGAATCAGCAAAATTCATAACCGAATTTCTGAAAAGTAAAACATTGACTCTGTCTTAAAAACGTGATACAAAAAACTGTACCTCACCTGAATTGGATATAGCTCGAAAAATAAATATTGATGATATATTATATATGTGTTTTATCTAGCAATCTGAATATTATTTCAAAAGTTCGAAATACCCATTATAGATATAATCATCTTGGCTAAGGATTCAAAGAACATTTTCTCTAAATTTACAGTTACAGTCTACAAAATATGTTCATTCGAGAAGTGAACAATGCCGCAACAAAAATAAAAAATGCATAGGGAGCTGAAAAAAATGGAATATAATTTATGTATATATTGGAAACAATCAATTATCAACTTCGACTAATCACCTAGTATATGGAAAAAAATTTTTCTAGTATTCGTCTATTTTTGCTTTACATGAAATTTTTTTCACGAAATAGGAATATAGGTAACCAAAGTTTCAGTCTAATCAACTGAACAAATATGTTTGACGTGATTTTTTCAATTAACATAACTTATTTCAATAATGAAACAATTGCAATTGATCAAAAACTAAATGTTCAGTAAAGGTTACCACAGTGTATTAGAGAAAACAGCTCCTCAAATTGGTTGAATCGTTTTTGAGATAAGAGCACATACGAACAGAAACATTCTAAACATTATTGTTGTTGATCTTATTATGTTAATAAACAACCTATATAATTGTTCTTCTCTAATATCGGCCACCTACAGACATCATGTTCTATAACAATATTAGATGAACTTAGAATGGTTTCAAATCAAACAAGCAGACCAAAAAATATATTGTTTTTGATCAAGAGTGAATTTCAAAAATACAACAAAATAGTATTTATAAAAGTTGTTCAGAATTTAATGTTATATCTGAAATCAAAATCATGACCTCTTTTTCAAGTTTCTGTTATTTTCTGGAAAAAAATGAGTTACTCCCGTATGACACGTGCAAAGTAACCACAATCAAATCACTGAAACGCATTGATGGAATTGAATTGGATTTATATTTTTTCAGGTAACAGGTAACTTTATTTTTATCGCAATGATATTTGACAACATTCGAAAATTGCCCAAATTGTTGCTAAGTAAGGGACATACATTACTTATGCATCTAATCAATGTTTCAGAAAAATAGGCCCCAACAAAAAATATTAAAACTATCACGAATAGTTGAACTTTTCATTACTCATCTGTAAAGGGTTCTTGAGAAAATAAATACCTCGCATACAAGCCCAAAATTTATTTGTAGGTACCTACATTTCAAACTAGAACCTTCATATAAGGATTCAAGTTTTCAATGTGAGTCTTACGGCAAATTGTAATGTAGCATCCGAAAATTGTTGATGTTGGTCAGGTGAATACCCATAAATCATATATTAAATATGGAATTGATAGGTCCATTTTTATTTTCATTTCGAGAAAATTTCAATTGTGATGGTTGCCTTTTGGAAAATAGATTGGAAAAGTATTTAGACATTACAAAACTGAAAAAACTTAATGTTTCCAACAAGTGTCATTTCACCAGTGACGTTTGTCGATGGCTGAATAGGAAATTTGGTGGTAGATGATTAAGACGATTTATCAATCCAGGATAGCCTTGGCAGACATACACCACTTGATTTTCTCGCTACAGGAATATTTTTGAAAAAACGTATATGAAGATCGACTTTTTACTGGTATTGAAGAGCCTAAAATGTCTGCATATTCTTTGCCGAAATATTCCACTTGAGTTAAATTTTATCAACGAACAAATAGACTCATAGAACGAGAAGATGAAATACTGCGAGAATTTTATATGAACTTCTAGAAATTGGATATCACACCTATTAACACTCGACCGAATAAACCCAGCTTCTTAACGAAGCCGATTAGTTTGTATGGTGAGTGGTCTTTCAGGTCAGATGGCAAAAGTACGGCTCTGACGAACTCTAAAAACCTGATTCGGTATCCAGCGGGGCAGGCACAAAGTATTTCTGTTGTTTCATCATTTTCCAAAAAGAGGCGATACACCTTGTCTTCCGACAGTCCGAGTCTTTGCATATAATGATTCAAATGACATTGACCTGTAAGAAGGCCTGTTAGTCATCGTAGGCAATCCTGGAAGATTCTACCAGAAGTCCATTAATCTTCTTGCCATCCAGGTGTTCAATTTTTGTTTGGCAAAGCGTAAAGTGATGCCAATAACAGGTTCTGGTCCGATGAAGCTGCTTGCGGCACCCTCCTTTGCAAGGAGGGAGTCAGCAGCCTCATTGGCTTCCAGGCCAGTATGGCCAGGAATCCGGACCAGAGACAATCTGTTGAGTCTTTCTATCGGGGAGAGTCGTTTTTGACAATTTGTTACCAAATTAGACGTTGCTCGGTGGGAGCCAAGAGCTTTCAACGCCGCTTGACACAATTCAATAGTGTAAATTTCCGCTTGAAATACAGTCCGCTTGAAATACAGTTCCTAGGCAGGTTGATAACTCTGTCCTGGATCTGCGACTGAAAACACCTGCACCAGAACCGAAAGGAGTTTTTGATCCATCTGTAATCCAACAACTATCTGCTCTTAATATTTCCTTCTCCTGAAGGATCCAGTCCTCTCTACTCGAGAAAAGTACTTTATAATGCAGTTCATAGTTGACAGTTGGAGGCACCAAAAGTCTGTTGCACTCTGCAGTGAATTGATTTATGAAATTGGCAATGTGTACAAGTCTATATGCAGTCCATCTAGCCTCTCTCTCCAGAAAAATGTTGAGAGGAGGAAGATCTAGAAGGATCACCATGGCCGCTGACGGTGTGGTACTGATGGCACCACTGATGACCAACAAGCCTGTCTCTGTAAGCCAGAGAGCTTCGCCTAGGCCGTTTTCTGTAAAGCCTTCGGCCACCAGGCAATTGCATCATAAGTGGTCATTGTTCTAACAATCATCACATAAATCCAATAGATTTGTTTGGGACCTAAATCCCAAGTTTTACCACGAATCCTTCGACATACCCATAGAGACAGTCTGGCTTTGTGTATAACTTTTCCAAGTGAGCGTTCCAGGTGAGTTTTTTATCAAGCACAATGCCAAGATATTTCACCTCCGTTACAAATGGAATAACCTCACCATTGAAGAAAAGTGGCGTTAGAACCTCCAATTTTCTCCTCTTGGTGAAGAGGATTAACACAGTTTTGCTGGGGTTGACAGACATCTGCTCCCTCAGGCACCACCTGTGAGCAATGTTCGTTCAAATGAATTATACTAGCGCGCTGCAATTTGTGAGATTATTCAGCAATTTTTTTCAAAATCTCTACATATAATTTGCCTAATCAAGTGGCTACTGGAGTTATTCAAAACAACTTCAGAATTATAGACGATATTTTCATTAATTCACCAGGAAATGAAACCACCTGTGTGATAGATAACAAAGTTTCTGATCAGAAAATATTCAGATGAAAATTCATATAAGTCATCAGTAGATCAATACCAAATATCATTTAATAACAATGCAATTTAATTGTCTTCAAATTGATATTAATCAAGTCTATAAAATCGTTGTCTTATGTAGCTGAGGAAATGAAAAAAAATAACGAATAAACTTCTCATTTTTTATTTGTAATATTTCCAGGTTTTCAATGTTTTTCAGATGAGTCTATATCCTATGTACATTTTTCTTCTGGAAAATCAGCATTCAAAATATTGAAAAAACCGTACCTAAAATTATATACTGACGCTGTAGCAAAAGCAATAAAAATAATTTCCTTATTCATTTTCACCAAAAGACACAAAACGTTATTCGAGCGTCATATTCAAAATGATGAAAATGCAACAGGTTCGAACTTCCATTGTCTAACGTAGTGTTAACAAATCTCAAATCTAGGAAGAAATTAATGAAATGAAAAAAAAAATAACAATGGTGATTTGTAAACCAAACAAATTATATAACCTGTTTCATGAAGAGTATAATCCAATGTTTATCAAACACAAGATAGTTGCTGGATTATACAAAAACGGAGACATACATGGAAGATATCAATACTAGTATTTATTTCTGTATACCGTATGTATGTATGACAGGTGCTTTAATCAAAGTGTTCGCAGAAGTTATCAAGGAATTGTGGTCAGAAGTTCCATCTGAAAGAGTAATAAACACTGCCTACTTAAAAAGTAAGATTCAAAGATTTGTCACTCGATTCATGGGATCTTCACATCAAGACGCTCAGGAATTCCTTTGATATCTTTTAGAAGGTTCACATGAGGACCTCAATGGAATTACTAAGAAACCTAAACCGATCTTGACAGAGATTGACGAAAAATTGAGTGACGGCGGGAAAGCGCAAGAGTCCTGGCTGAGATACTTGAACATGAACAACTCCAAGATTAACATACCCAACGTGTTCTAAGTGAAATTTTGTTTTACCATTAATACACTTTTGCCAGTGTTGAAATTTTCTGATAGAAATAAATCCAGCTTATAGCAAATATTAATTTTCTTGAAAACATATGAAATGTGCAATAAATTCACATGAATAATGACGAACACGCCTAAATTATTTTGAGGTTTCACTTCAACTTTTCGAAAATTCTATAGCTTTTCGCTGTGCTGTTCAACTTTCTCGCAGCCCCTTAAGACTCTTGAGAAATGACTCATCTTAGTCCCCTATTGACTCTGAGAGATGTATTTTGACCTGGCAGATCAGAACATCCAGAGAGAACCAAGGTAATATGTCCAGTGAGGTCCAATGACTAAATAAATTTGAAAATATATACCAATTTTATGTAAACATAGGGGATGGAGATGCAGAGTTTCGATCACTTTCCATAACAAAAGGGATTAGTAAAACTTGAATGACCCCAAACGAATAAGAAAAAAAAATTAAACCAAGTCACTTCATGATGTTCCGATTGTTAGTATTCACAAACAACTTCAAGTGATTACTAGTATTTTGAATATTCAATTCATTGTTTTTCTTAGATATTAAATATGTTAACACTTCTTTAAACAATAGAACAAAACCTCTGAAATTCATCAAATACAATGTCAGCCATGTTCAAACGAACGATGAAAATGTAATTAGTATTCAAATTCTCAGTCGTGAACAGTAAGTACATTTCACTTACATTCTAAAATAATCCTTAAAATAATATTTACCAAAAATAAAAAAGTATATAACATAAGTATAAAATCTCGACAACCATCTTCTCACGTTGTTTGTACATACGTACAATGACTCTATCATCTAGAGAAATATCCATATCGATATGATATTTGAGTGTAGATTATATTCATAATTTAGGTGGTGATAAGAGAATAATTTTTCATAATAGTATAAGAGATTAACTTTCTCACAGAAATATCACGACATGTGATTCTTTTCTTCACACATTTCCCAGTCAGGTTTGAAAACCATCTTTAACAGAAGTCGAAAGATGGTCATATGTGCAACTCTTATACAGTCAATTCATCCATTTTTCTTTTGAGCTGCATGCTACCGGAGAGCTTCTGTTTCAACTTGTAGTAGGTATTCAGTCTCGCGCATGCATACTCCTGAAAAAAAATTAGAATATTCAAAATACAACTGTAATCAATTTAGAATAGAATAGAATTTATTCATGCAATGTATACATGAATAGTATTCGTATACGTCAATCAAATGGAATAACCTCACCATTGAAGAAAAGTGGCGTTAGATCCTCCAATTTTCTCCTCTTGGTGAAGAGGATTAACACAGTTTTGCTGGGGTTGACAGACATCTGCTCCCTCAGGCACCACCTGTGAGCAATGTTCGTTCAAATGAATTATACTAGCGCGCTGCAATTTGTGAGATTATTCAGCAATTTTTTTCAAAATCTCTACATATAATTTGCCTAATCAAGTGGCTACTGGAGTTATTCAAAACAACTTCAGAATTATAGACGATATTTTCATTAATTCACCAGGAAATGAAACCACCTGTGTGATAGATAACAAAGTTTCTGATCAGAAAATATTCAGATGAAAATTCATATAAGTCATCAGTAGATCAATACCAAATATCATTTAATAACAATGCAATTTAATTGTCTTCAAATTGATATTAATCAAGTCTATAAAATCGTTGTCTTATGTAGCTGAGGAAATGAAAAAAAATAACGAATAAACTTCTCATTTTTTATTTGTAATATTTCCAGGTTTTCAATGTTTTTCAGATGAGTCTATATCCTATGTACATTTTTCTTCTGGAAAATCAGCATTCAAAATATTGAAAAAACCGTACCTAAAATTATATACTGACGCTGTAGCAAAAGCAATAAAAATAATTTCCTTATTCATTTTCACCAAAAGACACAAAACGTTATTCGAGCGTCATATTCAAAATGATGAAAATGCAACAGGTTCGAACTTCCATTGTCTAACGTAGTGTTAACAAATCTCAAATCTAGGAAGAAATTAATGAAATGAAAAAAAAAATAACAATGGTGATTTGTAAACCAAACAAATTATATAACCTGTTTCATGAAGAGTATAATCCAATGTTTATCAAACACAAGATAGTTGCTGGATTATACAAAAACGGAGACATACATGGAAGATATCAATACTAGTATTTATTTCTGTATACCGTATGTATGTATGACAGGTGCTTTAATCAAAGTGTTCGCAGAAGTTATCAAGGAATTGTGGTCAGAAGTTCCATCTGAAAGAGTAATAAACACTGCCTACTTAAAAAGTAAGATTCAAAGATTTGTCACTCGATTCATGGGATCTTCACATCAAGACGCTCAGGAATTCCTTTGATATCTTTTAGAAGGTTCACATGAGGACCTCAATGGAATTACTAAGAAACCTAAACCGATCTTGACAGAGATTGACGAAAAATTGAGTGACGGCGGGAAAGCGCAAGAGTCCTGGCTGAGATACTTGAACATGAACAACTCCAAGATTCTAGACAAATTCGTTGGTAAAGTATTCCGAGAAATCATCAGCTGTCAATTCAGATGTTACATTAGAATTTTTATTAAATCTATTTTCATTGATTATGTCCCATGCTGTTTTTTGTTTGTTATCAGCAATTAGGAGTTAAGGACACCTGCTTGACTAAAATGAACAAATGTAATATCTGATTTCATTAACTGTCCAAACTCTATTATTCTTGAGAAACTATTGATATCAGAAGATTCAGTATCTCTTGTAAAATTCAGCAACTAATGGAACCATAAGATAATTTAGTCCATTAAATATTACCTCATAAATGACCTCAGTTACTTGGACGCATTGCTCATTGTACAATTCAGAATGTTCAGTTCCAAGTTCTTTTGGAACTGAACAAAATAAGAACAAAGCCAGTGACGAGACTTGAGGGTCAGGTAGATTACGACCTCGTCATTGAGTTATGTCAACGTAAGTGTCAATTGGTTCTTGAAAATGGCTTCAAAGCAGAAGTAGAAACGTCGAACAGACGAAAACTACAGACGAGGGTTCACCTGGAGTACAGTACACCAAATTGCTGTAAAGTGGTGCCTTCAGTTCCCCAGTAGCTCCCTAAGACTAATGAGGATAAGATTTGGACTGCTGAATCAGCAATCTTTGTTATAAGTACACGGTTCTATGACCAGAAGGTCCCATAACTAATAGCAAAATCCAATAACTGATAGGTAAATCTATTTTCACTACCAGTATATATCAAGTGACACTGTATGATTGTGATGAGGTCTTATAACTTATAACTTAACAAAAATTACCTACCCAGTATCCGAAAGGAATATTTGATGTTTCAGCGTTAATGAATGCCCAAATAGCCCAGAAGAAATGTGATGCTAGCGAAAAGACTTCCACTTCTCTAAGTACTTTTTTAGGGTTCTCTCGCGATCCTGATTCATCTAAGTAGGCCCTGATGAATTCCATCCTTTGTTTTTCTGAAGGATACTTCGACCAATCCTCTTTATAGAAGGGGTGGTTGGGTTCCGTATAGTCGTAAACCCATTCTGCGAAATGATTCGCAATATCGAAGGATCTGTAATTGTAGGAACAATATTCGAAGTCTGAAACAAAAAATACTGAGGGTTATTTCCAAACCAAGTACTTTTAATTAACAAATCTATACGCTATTTACTAGTTTGACAAATATTTTTTATGTTTATGAATTCTATTTACCACGGTATTTATATTGCATAATTGCTGATGGTTCACTACTCATTTCAGGACGAATAGTGCTTATTTTCTGAGTGAATACGAGTAGTTACAAAATGCTAAAAAAAATCACGCAAACTTTGGCATATGCAACCTGTTATGAATAATGAATAACCTTGGGAATTGGATGTTCACTAAAATTGTCGATATGTGGCCACTATGGCTATATGGAGGCTTTAGGTTCTTATCTTGTTGATACCTTGGTAACCTTTATGATCAAGTTGTTATATCTATTTGTTAACTTGTCCGTTTGTTACCTATTGCCATCATGCCTCATATCCATTGATCTTCGGTAAAGCATTTTTGACTTATCTCAGCCTACCACATAATGTCCGCACCTCAGTCTTTGATTTCATCTTCTACTTTTTCGATTATTTTTTTCTAGAAGGTTTGTGGGCCCTCATTAATGCAAATTTTTAATTTTGTTGCACTATTCATTCCTTGCTTATCTAGTTAATTCAACTAGAGCAGATTTCTAGTTCCCTGGACAAAATATTTATAACGTTTTGAATTTTGAAATCATAGGTCTGTATGTCATTAGGACTTTTCCCGTAACGAGGTGGAAGCACTATTCTCAATAACAAGCTCCTCCTGACCTTGAAGATGGTATACATCTGCTTATAGGCTTTTGATTCTATTATGAATCGAATTACATTTAAAAATATTGGAACGTTGTGCACTTTCATAGCAAAATCCGAGTCAGCTCGCTCCAGTAAATATTTCAGGAAAGTTTTGATTTTATAGAATCAGTATTACTTTGTCCACAATCACTAACCATCGAAGAGGTATGCGAGGAGTCTTGTTTCCGTAAAAACTACTTTTTAAACCAATTTTGAGCTTTAAATTCTCTACTGAGAGGGAACGTATGCACTACACTGAATGACCTAGCTGTCGGGCTATTTCAGGCCGACTTATGTTGCACTATTCGTACCTTATCTTTTAGTAAACAATTCTCAGCTATAGGCTGAAAAATGTTCAAATATATTTTGGGGATGCTTTTTCCGTTTTTGATATGTATTTATTATGGAAAAACATAAAATGTCCTCTGAACGTTTCCATTTTTATCATTATCATAAAAAAATTATTACTATAGAGTTCTTGAAGAAGAGCCAATGAAGTCTCGAAAGCTTGAACAGAAAAAGAATTCTCGGATCCAATTCCCGTGCTATTTTTTAATTTAGCCAGTCGAGCTAACCTCCAGGTTCATGTGACAACACCTTACCCCGTGCCTCTCATGTAAGACCTAAGACCTTGTAGGAATGTGTTGCAGATACCCGACTGAAAAAGAACAACTAACCCAGCTAATGCCGCGCAGAAAGCTGGAGTAAAACCATAAGGCACATGTGCAATGTCTTCGATTCAGAAGATTCGTCGCAAGTTATTTCCCACTGTGAAAAGCAGAAATTAATTTCATTTGGTCGATACGACCAACCGATAGATCGGTTTCGGAGTACTTGCCCCATCATCAGTTCCGGACATGGTCTCTTCAGAACGGTGTGAACCGTCAGAGTATCACAACCAGACGAACTTAATTCCAGCTGGTCATGAACTCTTTCTGCAGTTGATTCAGTGGGATGTCACTGCGCCACCTGCAGACAAAGAAGGAAACAACTCCACAAACACATACTCCGGGGTGGGTTAGATTAGGTTAGGTCTAAAGTGAATGGGTCTATTCGACCACCCCACCACAACCCGCAAGGGTTTATTGTGGTTCCGGAGTGGGAGTCGGAATAATGATAAATATTCCGAAGTCTCATATTTCTAAAACTAGTTAACTTACAATTTTGATACATACTTGTAAAATTAGCCACATTTATTTTTTATATTTTTACAAATTTTGTATTACTTCACGTAGGTCTAAATACCTTAATTTCATCTGGGCATCATTTAATGTTCGTAACTAAGCAAACAGTTTAAGTCCTGAAGAAGGAAATAAACATTTCGGGAAGCATGACGTTATACCAAAGAATAACTCCCTGGCATCCTTAACTAATTTTACTTTATTTTCAGTATTTTAATATTAACATATGTCACAAAAAGGATTTGAAGCTTTATAACTTCTATTTTATTTATTATATGCGAGCGCTTTCGTTAGCTGGCTGTGCTGTCATCTTCAAGGCTCTACTCAGTTTGAGTAGTTCTAATTTACCTTGTAGAAAGGTTACCAAAAGTTGTCCATCTTTGGACGCTAAATTAACACTGAAATCTCCTGCTTAAATTACTGGCAACGTATGACAGTTTTCCCCCAAGTCTTCAGAGCAACAGTGGTTGTCTTTTGAAAGAGATATAATGCTTGTCATACAATCAATCTTATGTTATTTGCAATACTGAGAATTGGTTGCTACAAATTAAAATTTATTATCGACTCCAATTATATTTATTATGCTTCCTCGAATATTGGCTTAATTCCCTATGATAAAATACAATTATTGATAACGAGTTCATCTCCAATTATTTGGTTTTTAGTTATCGAATATTGTTTAGAAAAATATCGTTTATCGCCTATGTTGTGTCTAAGCGGTGTAAATTAGTTTTGATGTTTTTCGCTTTAGTTGAACTGAAAGACTACATTTTAATGGCAACTTTTGACTCTTTATGACAGTTTGATTGAAAAACTTCCTAAATTATGTTTCAATTCGTTTACTTCGTCAAAGTGCAATTACTTACCAATTATCACGAGTTCCGGTTGCTCATTATTGTTATCTAAATCTGCATCTCTGGATAATAAAATGTTTCCTTCCTGCAGATCGTTATGACAAAAATAAACCGGGCAGTCTTCGGCTTCCAATCTGTGTTTTAGCCAGTTTCTCTCTGCCTTGAAATCGGTTTTTTCAAACAACACTCTAGCACATTCGGGTATGTTACTGGTTGGTATCGCAATACAAGTTTTTAGCCACCTACCAAGAGTATTCCACAACCAATCTGGTTCCTTATGAAGAGGTACCTGAAAATTGTATGAAATGTTGAGACTAAGATACTTCCGGTAAAAAACTATATTCTGAACAACTTGTTTTTTGCAAATATTGTCGATTTTAGTTTGCAATTTGAATGATGCCATTGAATTAACGTTCTCATTCTGTGAAAAGATAACTTAACAAAAAGATATTTAACTAATTTGAATGAAAAAATAACCTCACATAACAAAATTTTCTCATCACGATTGTTATTATATTAATTTTTATTGAAATATTCACAGAATTTGAAAAAAGTCAATGTTAGAAATCATTAACATTAGTAACATTAGTTAAAAACAATAAAGACAAAACATCCAAATTCGAGATATCAGGAGTATACGAGGGTTGCCTTTTATATTTCGGAATTAGAGAACAGAAACAAATATTAATCATCGAAAATCACTTTATTGTTTTTCAATATATTCCCCATGAAGATGTATACACTTCTGCATGTGTTTGAACCAATTGTCGAAGAACTTTTGCCACTCTGATTGAGGTATCTCCAAAACATGCATTTTTAATGCAGCAACCGCTTATTCAGGTGTCGAAAAACGTTAACCTATCAGTTTGTTTTTCACATATGGCAATAAAAAAAAATCATTCGGTGCCAAGTCAGGACTATACGGCGGATGACTCATCAAATCTATGTTTTGGGTGCTCAAAAATGCAGTTGTTTGAGCCGATGTGTGAGAGCTCGCATTATCGTGGTGAAGAGTGATCCGTCTTCGGCGGTTGGTTTTCCTGATTTCTTGGAAGACAACTGGCAAACAAATGGTTGTGTACCACTCAGAATTGACTGTTCTGCGTTGTTCTAGTGGTACAGTTGCGACATGTCCAGTTTCTTCGAAAAAACAGGCGACCATTTGCTTGGAAGTGCTTCATGCGCCAACAACTTTTGTTGTATTTGGCTCATCTTGAAACACCCATACAGTCGACTGGTGTTTACTTTCGGGCTCATACGCGTAAATCCACGATTCACCACCTGTCACGATGTCATAGACGTGTTTCGAAGCACCGCGATAGTATTTTTTGAGCATTTCCTTCGACCAATCGACACGAGCCTTTTTTGAGCGATTTACAAATTGTGTGGGATAACGCGAACGAATTTTGTTGACAGTCAAATGTTTATGCAATATTCAATGTATGCTGATCCCACTAAGTCTGAGGTTGTCTCGATCTCACGATAGGTCACATGACGATCTTGCAATATCATTCGCGCACAGCATCAATGGTTTTCAGAACAACAACTGATTTTGGACGACCTTCAGGAAATTCGTCTTGGGAGTGAACTACGATCACAATTGAATTCACCATACCATTGATAAACACTGGTCCTTGATGGACCTTCATCGTCAAAAATTGAATCAAGTTCATCCATGCACTGTTGCTGAGTTAATCCACGTCGAAAGTTGTAAAAAATAATCGCACGAAAATGTTCACGATTTAATTCCATTTGAGTACGTATAAGCTCAAAAATGTTCAACTTTACGATAGAGCTGTCAGTTGCCAGATTGCAACGCTTGGGTTGCCAAATCCCAAAACATAAAAGGCAACCCTCGTATAAGTTAAAGTGTGTAACGTGTCCTAAGTTATATATTGGTCAAACTGGCAGAACTTAAAAAAAAAAGAGGAAGTATTATTATTGATGTAGAAGTGAGGTAATATGCTTCAGGTAAACATAATTCAAGAGGTATCTCAGGTATATAAAAGTTGTAGAGGTTTAGGTAATTTGATGGAGGTATTAGTCTCAATTATAGTTACCTGTGGTATATAAATATTAGCGTAAGAAGCAACTTGTAGTATTCAAATCACTGTTGAAGAAGCTACTGTGTTAGCGAAACATGTCGTGATATGAATTTNCTCAATGAATTTCATTACAGTGATAATCGTAACAACAATCAGGGAAATCTCCAGGGAATTAGGAAAGAAATATACTCATTCTTATACTTTTACAAATCGGAAAAAAATTTGGTAGTCATGTTGAAAAAGATAATGAGGTTACTTTTTCGCTCGATTGTCGAGTTTTTGTATGAACGCAATCAAATCAATTATTGCCATAGATATACCTAGTGTACCTCTATAAAAAAGTAGTAATATGTCAGTGCAATTTTGTAAATTTTTCAATAATATTTACATTTCGCCAATTGTGATGGTAATGTCAAAAATTTATGAATTCCATCAAGAATGCAAAGAATTCTGAATCATTTTTAGAAAAAAACATTTTTAAAATAAAATTACAATTGAAGGCCCAATAATGACAATAAAATATTTGACGGAATTCACTTTCCATATAGATAAAAATAACAAAATCATCTGATAACTGTTTGTAGCAGGGGTCCAAAAACATGGTACATGTCAAATACTTTCTGAATATTTCTGGAAAAAAAACATCATACATGCAATATGAAACAATTAATGAACATACAAACAAAAAAGATGCATGTTACATTACAAAAATACTTCTATCTCAAAAAATAAAAGGTTTAGATAATTCAATTTTGCTTCACTTGCATTTTATCTTGGATTTCTAGAATACTCTTTTATTATAAGTTTGACCAAGGTTATATTGTTATATATTATTTTAGGTGAATATATTCATTGGAGAAATGCATTATTTTTTCGTTTCTTATCAATGTGTTTATATTTTCTATCTGTGATAACCTAATTCCACTTGATCTATCGACAGCATTGTAGATAAGTACCTACCTATATCAAATACACATTTTTGTTCAGCAGATATATAAATGGTCCTTGAGAAGCTCTTAAATCCTCTGAATGAAATTTTCAAGAGTAAACATTTTTGAGATGGAAAGTAAACAGTTATCAGTTGATAAAAAAAAAACTATTTCATCAAGTGAAAGAGTTTTCAAGTTCATTCAAAACATTTTTTACAGTTGACCTTAACCGAGATGAAAATATGGTTAACAAATAAACAAACAAAATACCCAAGCAGCCAGGTTTATTATAATCGAATCCCCAGACAATTCAAAGCAGAAAACAAGTTGTTCGAGTTCTTTATGAATGATATTTTCCTACGGTGTCATCGATCCAAACCGGTTTCAGCACAAAGGCCTGGTAATAGCCTAGGTACGCCGTAGCACGCAATGTTGCGAATCTGCTAGAACATAACAATCACATACCCCATATGTGTGAAAGAATGGAAAAAACGTACCAGTCCATGGTTGCGATTGAAAAATTCCAATATGATCAACTATTTAGCTATGCATGAATGGTGAATGATATGAAGAGAATGTTGGAATTCATTGTTTTAACAAAAATAGCAGCTAATACAGTTACCGAATGTGTCAAATACATTTATTTCCGCTGAGTCAAACTTTTAAGCTATTATATTATCTATCTGAATTTCAACATTCCTGTATGAGCAATACATAATTTAACATTACAAAACATAACTTGGTTAGAAAGCACTTTGGAACCAGTTCTACTTTTTGTTTATTCTGAATTGCCTTGAATATGTGTTTATAATAATGAAAAGGCATCTACAGAATAAAAACAAATTAATGCAATCAGTAGCCAGTACGATTCGATTTCAACAAATAATGTTTTGCCCTTGAAAATAATGGGTTTAATTTGAAAGAACTCCAACAAAACCGTGATGATAACCTGATAAGATAATTAAAAATATTGAAAAAAATAGTCACGTTGCAGTTCCAATCTTCAACGAATACGTAGCAAAAAATTCAAAAATTACTTTTCTCTTCAAAAGAGTGTTATTGTCAGAACTATTCGTTCTACTAAAAGGGACATGTAGCACCTTCAAGACACTCACGTATACCGGAAAAACATCAGATTAAATAAAAAAACTACTAAATAAATAAAATATAAACATAGCATACATGACTGGTATAGTCTATCTATTCCCAATTGGAACGGCAATAAAAATAAGAGTACAGTCATAAACATTTCTTGCCTGTGGCCCGTAGTCGCCCAGATAGTAAGTAAACGTGCTATCAAATGTAGTTGAGAAATAAAGGCTCGGATAGCTGGACTGGCTGAATACAAATTTTTTGTCCGTTTCACAATATTTCTTTATCAGTGCCGTGTGTTCGTGGAGTTAGGTGAGGTAGTGAGTGGTTTTGCAAACCGATTTTTGAAAACTTTTTCTAGAGATTAATTACCCTAACACCAAACTGATATTTTTGCACTCGACGCGCGTTTCGCTAACAAGTTTAGCATCTTCAGGAGAAGCAAATTGATACTGAATCTAAAGACAAGGGTTAGCTGTTCATATACCTGAAGTTTTTTGGTCCGATGTGGACTTTGTTTGTTAAATGATTATTATCCTAATTGATTTTTCGGTAATTAACTAGTGGAACCACTACCTGCAAATTAATGTGTCAACAATACATTGAAAAGCGGTCAAATTAATTTGCAGGTAGTGGTCCCACTAGTTAATTACCGATAAATCAATTAGGATAATCATCATTTAACAAACAAAGTCTACATCAGACCAAAAAACTTCAGGTATATTAACAGCTAACCCTTGTCTTTAGATTCAGTATCAATTTGCTTCTCCTGAAGATGCTAACCTTGTTAGCGAAACGCGCGTCGAGTGCAAAAATATCAGTTTGGTGTTAGGGCAATTAATCTCTAGAGAAAGTTTTCAACTTTCACACCAAAGATTCCAATCTCATCGTTTAAACCGATTTTTGTGAAAAGCTATGATTCTAAGAATGAGTAACTGAAAAACTACCACTGAAAAATAATATGCCGACGCCCATGTCGAGGCGGGAATTCCTTTTCTGTGCTGTTCCAATTGGTATTGGAAATACTATAACTATTGGTTATAGTTATGCATGAGGAAGCTATTGTATAACGAAACACGTGTCGCGGTTTTTGTAAAACCCTTTATAGTGAAAATTATACGATAAACTGTATTGATTAGTTTTTTAATATAGATTTTCATCAAGTATCGGCCAGTTCTATTCAATTCATCAGTGCAATAATTGATTTGTTGAGGCGTATACGT